TCCAAAACAGTTGGGACTAGCTTCTTTTACTAAACACACATAAAATTTAGTGTTATCTGATGCAGTTCTAAATTATACTCTGCTTACAAAGTGAGAGTAATGTGACATAAAATGTGATCATAAGAGCTCAGTTTTTTTTTCATTGATTATATTGCACTTTATATAATATAACAAAATCCATGTCTGCTTGGATATACAGAATTATTAAAAATCTAATCTTTGTTATGAAAGTAATTTAATCTGTTTGCATTTGGACAATAGTTTCAAATGCAGCAAAATATTGGAAAATGTGTGTGATGATATGGATGATGGTCACCCAACGTTTTCCTGACTGTCTCCTGCAGGAACCCTATAACCCTTCGGTTGGAACCTACAACAGCTTCCCAGTAGCAGGAGGGCAGCCCCCTCAGCTGCCTTCTTCTCCCCCCACATATGAGTCCGTAAGTGACTGAGCCCTTCACATCAGTGCCTCCCCACCCCCATCCCCACAGATGGACAGACGCACAGGGCAGGGAAGCACTCAGGGAAGAACTGTTTATTCAGCTTGCTTGTAGTTTTACCTACATTCCTGCTTAATCTACATTTATAAATGTAGAGTGAAGCCCATATCTTACTGGAGCCTGGCATAGCCCTTGTCTCTTTTAAGCATGTACTGAGTATATTTAACTAACAGTTATGTACTGAAAATGAGATTGGAGTGCAGATTCAATTTGCAGTACTGTTTAATTTTTTTTACAAATATTTTGTTCCAAATTACAACAAATCTGAACACACTTTAAATACTAACATGCCCATTTCTTTTCCAGTAATACCAAATTGAAATAGTTCCAAATCATTTCCAGTCATATAATCACATTCAGACATCATATTTCAATTGGTGAAAAGCTAGAAAGCTGAGTGAATGATCAAGTAAATAACTTTCTAACACTCTCACATCCTGGGAAAACGTGTGCTGTTCATTTGTCGCTTACAAAACATTTTAAGCATAGCGGATTTAAAATTCACTCTTTTCACATTAACTTTCAATTTTAAAATTGTTCAGCTGTCCATTAGATAGAGCTATTTTATGGACACAGTTTTTTCAAATGACTGTTGCTGATTTGCACATGAAAGGTTCAAAGCTCATTTTAGTTGTGATATTTGCTTTTTAAATCAAAAACTTTTTTACTAAACACGCTGCTGAATTACAAGGAAATGGATGCACGGTTTTAACAGTAAAAACAAATGAGACCTATACATCTACTAATAAACTAAGCAGCTCTTTAGAATGTGTTGCATTACCTAAGTCTATAAAAATGCATCCCTTCAGCAAATACAATGAAGGGTGAAAGCAATAAGAATAGACAAGATCAGACTGACCTAAAGAAATATAAGACAGAGACAATGCGATGTCTTCCAGAATCTCTCTGATCTGGGGAATAATTTAAATCTGATGAGTTTGAGTGTTACAGCTCCCACAAAGTTTAATTGTAAGAGTGACTTGGTATTCGGCAGTGACCTGGTCAGTCACTTGATCTTCACCAGATGGCGCCTGATTCTGTTTCATCCAAACACAAACTGAGCAGAAAAAGGACAACAGCTTCAGTAAAGACCTGGCAGCACATTTTGTAGATTTTTAGGGGATTCCAGACTTCAGAAGAAGTCTTCAGCCATGTTCATTCAAAAATTAAGTCTGCACCTCAATTGCTTTTCAGTTGTTATGTATAAAAAAAACTATTTTGAGCCATCACTTTGGATTTATTTCCCACAACTTGTTTGTTTTTGTGAATAGCTTCTGCTTTGACTAACATGAGATGGTGAGTTGCTCTGTGTGCCTGAATCTGATTGATTTGTGGAGCAGAGAAGTAAAGCTGCCTCCCTCCTATCATCTGCTTTGAAGGGTGATGGTTTTTAAATAATCTGTGCACCAGAATATTTTTTTGTTTGTTCTCCTATTCTGTCTTCGTGAGGTCTAACGAACAGTTTTATTCTCAGTAGAATGATGACGATACGATCTGTGACGCATTTTTGTCTGTGTTTTAGATTGATGACTTCAATGACAAAGGTTCTGTTCCTTCTCAGGCTGTAGGTGAGTTCCATCTGCAACATGTCCAGATTTGTTTATGTTGCATAATTCCAGTTGTGGAGTGAATTTTTGTGAAATTCACTCCTGATGTCTTTTGGCTGGTTGTCGTAGAAGAAAAATCAACTGTTCATACTTCTCTTCAGGTCCGACTCCTGCACCTCGTCACTCGTTTGACCACAACAACCTACCAGAACTTCCCTCCGTTCCCGACACACTCCCCACCTCCTCCCTGGGTGGACACACCACCAACTCGGACGACATCGACTTTGACGATTTGACGCGGCGGTTCGAGGAGCTGAAAAAGAAGACCTAATCTGTGACACTGATGGTCTACGTACCTTATCTCACAGGCCTGTGTCGTTACCTACACAAGCCAGTTCAGGAAATGGGGAAACATTTAGGGTTTTGAATCAGATTTGGGTAGTTCTCATCCCCAATTTCACCCATATAAAATAATTTTACATAGATTTTAAATATACATATACTCTTACCTCATTTTCACAAATATTACCAACTTACTGAAGGTGTGGGTGCTCACCAACCAACAAACCCTGTCTGCTAGAAAATGTCTTTTCTATTCTGGAAGGGCCACATGATTTTTTCTCCCAAATAGCAAAATTTATATATATATTCAAAATTACAATCATGAGGCTGCCAAGACCCTTTCACTTGTTTCCATTTAAGGTCATACTGCCTTTTCACTGTTTCCAAATAAACCTGAGTGAATCAACTATTTAATCAAATCAAGATTTTATTTGCTTTTCTTATGGTTTGCGGTTAGATAATAAATACAGTCTATGCCTTGGCTCCAATTGGTGCATGTTGATGCCGCTGTAATCTTTTCCACTGTGTTTATTCGTCATGTCTCAAAGCAGTCGGACAAGCCCGACAGGTTTCCTCACTGGGATAGAAAATGGCCATTGACACTTAATGAAGTCATCATATCCTCTCACAGCGGTTTCATGAAGCAGTCGGACACGGAAGCCATATCTGCTGTGCTGTCCTTGTAGTCGTAACACTGTGGAACTGAGGATTTTGAAACTACACCGTTCGCTGAGCTGACAGGAAGAAGGTGTGTGTGAGGCCTTGAGGAAAAGCGAGCAGTGAAATCTCAAAACCTGTGGTAGTTGATCAGGCTTTGTTGTAAAAATACAAAAAAAAGTATATGAAACCATTTATATAGAACATTTCCAGTAATATCGATAATTATTTGCGCAAGTGATTTATAGATAAACCAAAAGATGTTTGGCTGCAGGGCTTTGTTCATTATTTGAAGAAACTTTTGTAATTGCAGCGTCTGAAAAATGCTTCTCCCCCGTTCTTTTGAATGTCTGATTTACCGAACACTTACAGTGTAACATAACCAAATTACATAATTTACAATCACTCCTTTTAGATGCAACGCATATGATTGGATCTAGTGTTTTGACTCCAGAAGTGATCATATTATCCTGTTTTCTGCAAACGTGTGCATGGATCATATACTGTATGTCCACCGTTGCATTTGCCTTAGCTGTCGTCTCTCATCCGAGGCCTTGCCAGTCTGTGGAAGGATTAAGCACTTGTCATCCATTGAGACTGGAGTCATATTACCAGTTTGTTGTTATGTAACAAATTCGTTCTCTTTAATTATTTGGTAAAGTTATGCTTTAGATAAGTAACAACCTGCTTTGTTGATAAGGAAAAGAGTTCTTCTGAAAAAATTGGAAAAAACAAAAGAGTTTTATTTTTGTGCAGACATGACGCATAGTCGTAACCTTACCGCACCCAGCACTGCTTGCACGGCAAATGGGCAGCGGCCTTGTGAACAGTGATTCAGCAGTTTCTGGATACACAAGGAGTGGCTTTCAGTGTGGATTTTAAACAATGCTTATTCTGTTGTTTAACATATTTGTAAGATGTAAAGCGAGATCGACACTACAGAGCCGTGACCTGCTCCCTATTTTTTTCTATGTTAGACTTTTCTATCATTCTGTTTCTTTAGGCACAAAATGTGTCGGTTTGAAAGAGATTTGTTTTTTCACAATGTACGCTAACATAAAAATTTAATAAATGACTGTTTGGAACTGGAGCAAAGTTTGATTTCTTCTCAACCTTTTTTTTTTTCCGTTTTAAATCACTGTAATAATTATTGGTGCCCACTAGGGGTCAGTGGCGTGTTTTACAACAATTCTGAAAGGTTGCGGTCCTGAAGTCATACATCAGTCAATTTTACCATTAACAAATTTATTTTAGTAATTCATTTAAAAAGTGAGATCTTATAAATTGATTGTCCAGGGTGAATTATTGTTTATCTCTGCTTATTTAAATAATGAAAATCCCAAACTAATTTTCTTTGAAAATTACTGTCAAAAGCAAGTATTTTTAACATGGCATGGTTATGCTACATATCAGCTGATGACTATTTCAAGATGGGCAAATCACAAGAGGTCAATGCTGAAGAAGTTGGCTAATCACAGAGCGCCGTTCATAATGCTCCATGAAGGTTAAATGGAAGAAAAAAATTCAGGAGTTGGGAGGTGAGTCACATGATGTGAACTGCAGCTGAAGACAGGGCTTCATGAGGCACAGTACACATGACCAGCAAACTGGACTGATCCAAACCTGTTAAATGGAAGCTAAGAACCACAAGAGTTAGCAATGCAGATTAGCTGTAAGACCCAATCAAAGCAACATGGGCTGCCTAAAGCAGAAACACCTCAGCAGAGTCAGACATTCTGTATTCACACAAAAGCAGACCCAACCAAGCATTAAGTATATATAAATGAATGCAGATATTTCTTATTGCAATGATTGATGTTGCTTTATTATATGTAAAAAAGAAACTGACATTGATCATTCATAACCTCACAGTTAATACAGGTATGAATGAAATAGGGTGTGTCTCTTGTAGTCACTAAATATGAGCTACATTTTATAATTTCTTTAATTCTTATGTTGTTTTTTTGCATTTGAGATACAATCTGTCTGTACAGATTCAGCATAAAAGATGAATGATCCTCAAAACATTTGGAAGAAATAGCTTTATTTAAATTCACACATCTAATATCAATAAATAAAAAGGAAGAACAAGAACTTTGTGACTGCTGTAAAATCCCAAAATATCTACCACGAAAATGAAAACGTCTATAGCATAAACACACATTTAGAAAACCAAAAGCAAAGACTCAAATTTAGTTAGTCGCTCACATAAAGCATTCAACACTGAATCCTAGAACCCACAGATGATAAAAAAAAATGCAACATCCCCCTTTCAGCATGTCTTACGTGGACAGAAGTGCAATGAAAAATGTGATCAATAATCCATCAGTTCCCTTACGCGCAATTACATAAGCAGACCCTCCCACTTGTCCACAATGTACCTTCATTTAAAGTCACTCTCTGTGATGCATGCTGACAGGAACAAGAGATCTGAGATCTAATTTTGCATTTTTTTTAATGTTACATACTAACGTTATTTTTGTCCTACTGTTTCATCTTATAAAGCCCTATCATTTCCATACTCAAACAAAAAAAACTGTTTAATTTGAATGTTTTTTCAACATAATTTAAAACAATTCAACAGTTCAACTCGAAGGCATGTAATTAAGTAAACTAATGTGAAACTTTGTATTATGATTCTTTGAGCAAACAACTATTTTTATTACTTGCTAATTGTTTTATAGTATTGAAACTATTTCACATCTGCAAATGACCAATTGAGCTGAGACCAGCTTTAGACATCAGTGGTTTACATTAACAAACATACGTAGCTATCAACATGTTTACATATTTAATCAGTCATTACATCATCCATTTACTATGACTCTCCACTAAAGAAAGGCTCTGTACATAGGAAAACATCAGAAAGTGTTATTAGATATTTATAGAGTTGTATGTGTTGAAGACAAGCAGGCGTGATGATGGTATTCATGCAGAGCAAAGCCTGTCTGGTTATGTGTTGTATCCTCACAGGGCATCTCTGCCGGTGTAGCGTCTGCATCTGTCCTGTTGCTCTGTGAAACAGAGAGGACACCAGCTCAGCTCTCATAACACTTCAGCCCTCCGAGGAACCGAGTGTGCACTGACAGCATTTGAAGAGAATTCATCTGACGTGAATCGTGTTGCTCGGTTAAAGTTGTCCAACAATTTTATTTGACTTCTTTTCAGTGTGATAAGCACATTTATGTAAGAGTTCCCAACAGTGAACCAGGAATGAAACACCGAGGCATGAATAAATAATTTGTAAGTCAAATTGCATTAAGAAGGTGTCTCAGGTTGGTTCAAAGCCAATTCCTCCATCACAAGATTTCTATTTCAGTTTTTTGTTATATAAAGGTCTTATATATTTCATGAAAACATCCTTTCAGGAGTGAAAAGCTAAGATAAAAATATTTTGATGGGAGGGTTCCAAATTTAGAAAGGGCTATGTGACCTTAGCCCCACCTAATGGAGAAAACATGCTACTAACACTTCACACTGAGTCAAAAATGAGGATAAGATGCAAACATAAAAAAGGAAGTGTTTACAATGTTATAAGAGTTTTATCCTGAGCTGCATAAAAATTGACGGATTTGGCTGAATGTGAGCAACTAATTCAGAAGAATTTAGATGGAACTGGATTCTTGTCTTTCAACATATTTTGTTGCAACCAAATTACATCTTTTAGATAGTTTTTAAAGGGGTTTTTATTCCATTTTAAGTTATTAAAAAATATTTTGAATCTAATCTGAACAATGCTGTAAAGTTGGACCATGTTGCTTTTCAGAAGCAGCACCGGGTCTCCAGATGTGGAAACACAGCTGGCGAGACTGAGCTAAAACTTTAAAAATGCTAAAAACATTTGTTTTGCTCATACCAGCAGCTACTAACTATCACTCTAAATAGATATTTTATTTTACATACGACAAAAGTAAGAAAAACTGATTGTACACTGCAGTAAATAGTTTGTCTTCTTTCATGCAGGAAAGACCAACACTGAAAACAGAGACAGCAGTCCTCTCAGTTCATGCAAGAAAACAACACTCACTGATGCTGACTCTTCAGCTTTATTCACTATATTATTCTAAAAGCCAATCAAACATATCAAGTCCTACTTTACATCTGACTATCTTACCTAACAGCGCCTGTGCTGCTTCTTCAGTCTCCTCCACGGCCACAGGTTTCAGCAGCAAGGCGAAGAACACAGCAACACCTATCACCTGGGAACAGAGATAATACACGCAATCAGTTCCAGGTTGCCTGTACCAAACAAGTTTGACGACTTGTAATCATAGTTTTTGAATAAAACTGATTTCCTTTAAGGTACCCACCTTTAGAGGCTGCAGTATGAAGATGCTCTCAAAAAGGGATAGACCCAAAGACATGACCCACTTAATGGATTTCTCTTTGCCGTACTGGAAGCCGTACAGCAGGGTGAAGTAAGTTGATATCCCACTGATGGAGACCAACAGGAACCAGCCAATGAACACACACCACCAGGGCAGCTTCACACCTGTCGGGGTCTTCTTCTTCTTCCTCACAGGGACCGGACTATTTACAAAAAAGACAAATAAAAAGAAAGGAAAATTGAATGAGAGAAAACATAGGAAAGAACATGTAATTAGTGGGGTGAGTGGGCCAACCAGTTGGATAGGTGACTGCTGAAGACCATCTCAGCCTTGCGAACCAGCAGGTTGGTGTTGTTGAGAACGCGCTGGTACTCCTCTGGACAGGAGAAGTTTTTCGCATCCAGTTTCTCCAGGTTCATGAGGAGGTGGCACAGACTGGCCAGGAGGAACTTGCTGCAGTAGACCCAGTGGTTGTCGCTCTCACTCTCACCTGTGGAAGATTTATTGAAGGACCAGCTGGTGAAGAAAAGTCCTGAGGTACTTTTCTACGGAAAATCTAACTGTACTATAAACATAATATGATTTATTCTAACCAGTTAAGATTAGATTACACATGTTTGTATTTCTGCACCTTTTTTGATAAAACATAACAAAATTTAAAAAATAGCCCCAAAGTACACAATTTGGTTTTTAATTCATTTCCTGTTGTTTAAAAATCTGTTTTTGTTTTTAATATTTATAAGCAGATGTATCCCAGCATATCTTCCTTCTGTCTCACATATGCTGTATTCTTTATTTAATTTATGTCAAACAACAAGAGAAACAACACCTTGCATGTGCTGGATAAAGACATGAAGCCGGTCCAAAGCTGGGACCAGATCATAAGATGCCTCCAGTTTGAGAACCTCCTGCATCTTGTTCCTTGGATTCATGCTCACCAGAGAAATCATCTTCTCAGTTTCCTGTGGTAAAATACATGAAATATTTGCACTCAAGAGACTTTAGTTTGGTCTTGACAAAACAAAACAAAACTCACATTCAGGACAGTAGGTATGGTGACTGCTTGAGGCTTGAAGATCTCATCAGGGCCGTCTTTTTTGGAGTTTGAAACAATGCGAGGTCGGATGCTTCGGAAAATAGTTATGATGAGGATATTGATGGGGAACATAAGAAGGCCGCTCTGCACACCCACCATGACATCCTGCCAAGTCATCTGGAGGGATCCTGGAGCAAAAACATAAAGTATTTTAAAACATTTTTACACAAAAGCTTTCAGTTTGTTCATTTACTGAATTGGAAATATGTAATAAATGCATACGTACTTGTAAGGTTCTTGCTTTATAATTTCATTTGGTAATTAGCTAAAACTCTATGTTCCATTGCCGGATATTTTTCATTAAATATCTGTGCTCTCCCTTGCTCGAGGAGAACAGGCTTGCTATACATTTCCTCGTCACCACATAAAGTCCCTAACAATCATTGTGTGACTGCGGCTATCAATGAGTAGATGAGTCAAAGGCTCTCCACTTTAATGCAGAACAGAAAACAGAAGTAGGTGCGACTCTGAACTGTGAAACCAACAGAGCATCCCATAGACCTGAATGTATTTAATGACACAGAACAACATTTTAACAACCATAAAATCAAATAATATAGCAGTCCTCAAATGATGAGGACATGAAAAGTTCAAAAAGGGCTTCTTTCTATTTTTTTAAATTTGTATTTATTTATTTTTGAGTGGTATATTGTGGTATCGCTGTCGCCCTAATTGTGCTGAAAATCTGCATGGTTAAAATGCCACATGTTTAAACAAAGATGTTATAAATTGTTTGCAAACATTTATAAATTTATACGATTGTTGTGTCAGGTTCTAGTTTCAGTTTGGTTTTCAAAAGTTTCTCATGCAGTACTTTTTCTAAGTGCATGAAGTTTTGCTCCTCAGGTCTTTAAGTTAAAAGTTACTCAGCCACCTATTGAAACGACCACAGCAGAATTTGGATCCACAGGAATGTTCCAGAAGGCGATGTTGATGGCCATGGTGCACAGGAGCAGGCTCATGCAGCAGGAAACCCTCTGAGCCCGAGTGAAAGGACTGCGGGACGGGGGATCCACGATGGACACCCAGATGTGTTCGTCCCTAAAACCAGTCGATGTTCGGCTCTGGAAAATATTCCTGACCAAAAAAAGAGAAGAAGAAAAAAAATAAAAACATAACAGTTCAACCTTGCTCTGTCAAAGCTAGGGATTATATCTTCAGTGTGAACAACTTACTCTTACCTGAAACTTGCGATCTCGTTGGTTTTTGCAGAATTGAAGGTTTTCTTGGTCATTCCGTCTCCTTGGTCAGAGCTCAGCCAGCAGTTACAGAAGAAATGCCAAACATTTTTACTTTGAAGGTCTTGTACGGTCACTTTGCTCACATACCTGACAGGTGAGGAAAAAGGTAAAGGAGTTTTAGGTAGAGACTAAAACAGTTACTAGTAACAGTTGTTTTTTTAAATTTGTGTTTCAGTACAGATGAGACAGAAAAGTTTAAAGTTTGAATGGCTCAGCCTCTGTTACCATGATGGATGACCTCCTGAGTTGTCGTGCTGCAGGCGAAGGTTTTTCAGTTCTCCCAGTGGGTAGGGTGTGGACAAAAGGAACATGTCAAAAGATCCTCTCTCAAACACCGGCTTTTCTGGATCGGTCAGGGTGTGTATGGTACTGTCTGCTTCTGTGCCAATCAGCTTCACTGTGACCTGCAGGACAGCAACGAGAACTGAAGGAACAGCACTGGAACGACATATCAATGCTCTTTTCATGCATGCAAGGAAACGCTTCACATGTTATTTCCAAGTGTGTTTTGTAGTTTTCTAATTTATGCTGCAGTGGATTGGAAAGGCAGTCGAAGGACAAGGACATCGAGCAACTGGATGAGCTGTTTGGCAACAGGGTGGAGTAATTACACATGGTGGCAGAGAGGGGAACACTGAAGAAAATAAGTATTTAGAAGTAAATAAGTAGTGTCCTGTTTGGCCAGAAAATAAAATATCTAAATGAAGAAGGGAAGTATGTACTTGTGTTAATAGTAAAATTAAACTCTAATTCTGAACACTTAAAGGTCTTACGTTAGCAGAAGTGCCGGCGCCTCTGCGATGTCCCGTCTGGATCCCGATCAGATAGTTGTAGTGAGTTCCTGGGTGATTGTCCTCCAACAGAGTTATCTTCCTCTGACAGATATAACATGCATTACAGTGAATACAATTAGATTTGTTGGAAGAAATTATTCAATTAATAACATTTAGCGTGACAAAAGGAGAAGCACAAATATTATATGCCTGACCTTAGAGCTCGCTCTGCGGTCAGCATAGCAGGCCCACAGCAGTGTGATCAGGTAAAGACCATAGAAAGCACACAGCAGGGCCAAAACCACAAAATTCTCATTCACTGTGGCAAACAGCTCTGCTGTTCGAGACACGTCAACATAGTTTGGCATCACAAAGAAGGAGCTTCCAAAGAGAGTCAGGTGGTTACACAGACAGTGTGTCAGCTCCGGAGTGCTTTTCTCTCCCACCTGCATGACAGAAAAACAGGCACCACTGTTTAGTAAGCTGTGTATCTACTGCAAATGCCAAGATATGAATCCAAAGCAATGTGGGTACCCTGCAGCCGTCATCGCTCCATTCCTCTTTGTTAGTGTGCCAGTAAAGGCACCTGGTAAGGTATGTGTTGATGTTCAGTGTTACTTCTGTTTCCAGTGTGAAATTCACAAGTCTGGCTTCCACATACCAAGTCCCTGATGTGTTCTGCAGCATCTCAGGGGTAATCAACCAGCGATAGTCCTCTGAAGCCAAAATATGTCAGTCTGTCATCAAACCTCAACCAGAAAGAGCAAAATGTAGTGTAGATGCTAGTGATGGTTACCTGAGTGGCTCAAAATGGTTGAGTTGTGGAAATATGTAGAGTTGGGAGGCGAATTGTAAGACAAGAAAACAGCCAGTGATACGTTGATGCTTGGTTCGACGTTGAATAATATGGTCATCTCAGTGTCAGACACATTGATCTGAGATACGGACTTTGTGTTCTTAGTCAACACGACAGTGGTGTTGGTCAGAGCTGAATTATTGGGGCGGTACAAAAAGATCTGAGGGAGAAAAGATGTTTTCATGATAAGAACCATTAGGATGAAGTGTCTGAAGTGTCTAACAAAAGGCTTCAAATAAAAATGATTTCACAAGTATAGTTTCATGTTTCAGAAATACTGTGTTGTTGTAGACCTGAAGGGAATCTCTGAAAATTTAAAGAAATAGTTTAAGTCTTATTGTACGGTGGGTTCTGTTGAGGGAGCTATTAGCTGCTGCAGATACCTCTGTCAGCATCTTTACTTTATTTGAAAATCTGATGTATTCTTTCCCCATACCAGATTCCCATTATTTTAAAGTGTCTCTAATCTCAAAAAGCTCAGAGGATTTTCTGTAAAGATGCTATAGAGCTTTAAATCTCAGAGTTTGCTGGCAGGGCAGTCATTCTGGCCAAAGGATTTGAAAAAGAGTAGCTTCGGGTGATAACATTTGAAACACTTTCATCTTTGTTTGCTTTACTTACTGTATGTGACTCTATATGTAATGCACTTCGTTCTTGAGGTTAAAACATAAACATTGTTCTTTAATGACAAAATGTACATTGGCTGTACCTCAACCACCTCTGAGAGATTTTGCAGCTTAATCTCAGAGTTTCCATCACTGAGCATAAAGTTGCAAACAGTTCCTGATATGTTTTCAGACGGGTAGGGGTTGACTGAGAATGTCGCCATCTAAAAATGAGAGACGATCTCTGTTACAAAAGGCTGCAAAAAATATTTTTAAAAATCCATATGTGACAGTAACTCACACAGACCTGGGCAATGACGTCTTTGTACTTTCCTATGCTCGATTGCAATGCTGAGAATGAAGGGAGCTTGACCATCCCTCCGTCTTCCTGTGAACCCACCACTGCATTGCTGAGCTCCTCAGGGGTGTACCTGATTGAAGATAAATCAAATTTAGTCCAATTATATAATTCAAAAGTGAGAAAATGGAGAAGAAACTTACGCTCTTGTTATGACACTGCCTAATTGGGTCCTGGAGACTGTTGGTGTCGTCCCCACGAGCAACAGAGAAGCTTTTTGAATGAGCTTCACTACATTTTCAAAAAATTGCTGGTGAAAGAAGAAAGCAATGCCATCTGACTTTAAAAACCAAAAGGGTGACACAGTGTGTTTCATAGTGACAACTTACTTTAGTTTGGCTGTGATCAAAATCACATTTTTGAGTAGCCAGATAAAAGATGGCATTGGTACAGTTGATGATGGAGTCGATGATAGCAGGATTAGCTTGGGCAACACTACGAGTCACTTTTTCGGTGCCAGCCAACAAATATTCAATAAATTTGTCCTGTAACAAGGGAAAATGGACGAAGTTTAACACAATATAAAATGACAGGATATTTATTAGGGTGAAAGAAAATATTTTACCCTGTGATCATCAGTAGGTTCTTCTACGGTTATTTCCATGTATGACAGAAATCTTTCTGCATTCTACCTCAGAAACAGAGTATATTTTTTCATGTAATTCAGAAATATTTGTTCTTTTAACTCAACAACTCAATTACTTTATTCATTTAATGTAACATACGTGGCTTGCCTCACCGTTACTAGCTCAATCATGTTGTTGACATTTGTATTCATTTGATCCAAATCACTTAAATCCCTTTTGGTCCCTGAAATAAAAAAAAACAACTTTATTTATTTATTTATTTATTTATTTATTTATTTATTTATTTATTTATTTATTTATGTACTTACTTACTTACTGACTTACTAGCCAGATGTATAAACAACACACAAATCCACAGCATACCACCATTTCCTTAAGATGTAATTTAAGTAATTAACTTACGAGGCCTAGCGGCATCACTGGAGGCTTTTGCATTCTAAAGAGAAAACACCGACAAAAGAAAAGGACCTTAAAACTGGCCCTCATAGATTTTTGCTTTTAGAGTGAGATTTATATCTTACCTTTAAATTTGTTGGAGACCTCGAAGCTTTAAATAGAGGATTGCACAGATTGCGATATTAAGTACAGCGTCAAAGCAAATACAAATGGTGATAATTACATTCTGCTTCTTTTTTATACATGAAAGGAAAGAGATAAAATGCAGACATAAAGAACAGATTTGACTGGTAGCCTCCACATACTATGTGTGCAGAGAAATCCTCGTCTCTTGCTGCAGTCGGACGTTAGGAGCCGGGGAGGATTCAGCTTCATGTATGTGCAGAGTTCCTTTAAAGCTTCCACTTTTTCTGTTTTTAACCTCTTCAGACCTGACAGAACAAACAACAGTCAGAAGTTTCTGGACCGACTCGGTAACACTTTATGTGATGGGTTGTGAATAAACATAATAAAATATAAACATGATATAACAGCTGTCATGGACACGAGTGAGTCTTGATGAATATTTATGACTATTGTCATAAAGTGTAATTTGGTAAATCATGACACTTTTAATACAGAGTTGACATTTGTTATAAAAGTATCACTGATTAAACTTGAGCTTTAATAACAGAAAGCTACATTATTATTAAAGTTTAATCAGTGATACTTTTATAACAAATTTATGTCAGATCATGATTTCTTAGTTAATGTCAAGTGGTCATAACAAAGACATTTTCAATAATATCAATTTTGTATCAAAAATGTTATGATTTAGTGAATGACACTTTATGACAACAGTCATAAATATTTATGAATACTCACTCATGTTCATGACAGGTGTTATGTTCATGACAGTCTTATTCACAACCTGTCAAATAAAATGTTTCCTTTTTCACAAAATATAATTTGAATGAATGAATAAAAGATTAAATGAGATAATTATTTGGAACATTTGAACAACATATGTCAGCATAAGACAATTTAATCATATTATTTCAGGAAGGAGTAGAAAGAGGCAAATTATTATTAAATCTAACTCTCATTAACTCATTCAGCTCATTAAATGAGGGTAGGAGTTATCCCCATGTGTCAATCTTCCACCTGAGATAAAGGAGAAGCAAAACATGACCAGCCTAGTCTAAGAGTTATATGAACTACCTGGTTAAAAAAATAAAACTGTTCAGTTTAACAAGATGCTCTTGGCAGATTTGGATTTAAAGTAATTGTTTAATTTGACCAACATGTTTTGTCTGACTGGAAGTAATTTGTATGTTTCGGAGAAAATAATGGTATCATTTATTTATTTACTTGCCAAATGTATGTCATTATTGTGTAACAAGTTAATTCTCTGCCTAATCTATCTATCAAAAAAAAAAAAAAGATAAGAAAATAACCACAAAGTTTAGTTGAATATTTTGCTCTGTTTTTATTGACTGTGGGTCTGATTTATGTTTGTGCTGGTATAAAATATGAACGAATAAGACTCCTGGTCAAGCCAAAATAAGTTTGAGCAACTTTTTCAAACTTATTTTGAAATCACAAATTCATATTTCCCTGAATATGAATTTGGAAATATAAACAAGCCAGTTGGTTAAAGAAATTGCAAAACATCTCCAATACTGAATAAGACTGTAAATGAATGAAACCTTAATTAAATTAAATGCCCAGCATCCTTAATGGGATGTAAAAATTAATACTGAAAGGGTAAGTGTTCAGTTGCTCATTTGTCAGACATTCCTATTGGGTAAAAAAAAGCAACACAGATTTCTCAAATACATTTATATATGCGAGCAATTCTAATCCAGACGTCTTTCATTTTTTGCTTTTCAAACACATTTATGTGTCGTTTAGATGAATTGTAAAGCAACTTCTATTGTGTTGCTTCATCAGCAACACAGTATTACTCAGATTACAATCTGAATAATCTGTTTACTCAGATTGTTTTTCAGCAACTTCAGAATAATGTGAAAAAAATAATACATGCCTTGTGTTTTACTCAGTTTATAAAGAAGTTGGGTGCCTTTTCAATTGAATTACAATATTTTTCTGTTCAGGACCTTTGTCCTTAACAGGAAAAAAGGTATTCAAAACTATTTAAATGAAGATGTTGATGATAAGAATTCAAATGAAATCCTGAGATACACTTCTCAAGAGAGAAGAAAGCCTCTTTACTGTGTCTATAGTTTTAATTTATTTTATGTAATAAATTTTACATCTTTGTCTTCATGTTTACAGACCATGAACTTCAATAATGACCATGTAGAGCTTGTGGAGCCACTAGATTAGATGTAAGTACTTTTACAACCTGGTAAGGACAAAATCACTTATACATTATACCTTAAAATTCACTTATTTTGACCATAGATGTAGTTCACACCGTTTTCTCTTAACAAAACTAACTGATCATGTGTAAACCCATTAGAAAAAGCTATTTTTCATTACTTTATTGGGAAGGCTAGACTAAACAAAAGATGGTAAGCAACATTTGTTTGCAGTTTGATAAATGACAGAGAAGTAAAATAATTTGACTCACTTGGGGATGGATCCCTGTGATGTGCTTGGACCCCTTTTTCCACCCACCAGGTGAAGTTCCTGGTGTTTTTCTCTCTGGTAATGTTGCTCAGGAACATTTGGATTGAGTTATTCAGCACATTCAGCAGCTTCCCTCCTCTCTCCTCGCAGCTGCTCCTTGCTTGGTTCCAGGTTTTTGACTCCTCCACAAACTCCAGGCAGACATTTTGCCAAACAAACTCGCATGATGCTGTCAGGTTGCCGTACGGGCAGGTCTCACACTTTTCGGTTAAAGACAGGCGTCCATAGGAGATCCACAGCAAGATAATAGTTTGGAGTAACATGTCTATTGTGCTGCTGGCCCTGTGGCTGGACCTTCTACTGAGCTTGGTGCCTTCAGTCTTTCATATGAAAATGAGAAAACGTCCTCAAGTAAAAAAAAAAGAAGCACTGTGCATATGTTCTAGGAAAATCAGTGCAGCCACTCAAACAAGATGCAAAGTGAAGGAGTTGCTTGATGTCACTCAGGTAGAGTCAAGTTTTCCCTCCTTATACAGGCCAATAACATGTTCTGAACATAATTTATAATTTTAGCCGACATATGTTGTTTGTCAGTGCATTGTGTAAGGCATTTATAACTTTTACGAATAAAAAAAAATAGTTTGTGCACTTTTATTATGTATCTGCCCTCTGTCTTGGTCTTATCAAGATTTTGGCCCCTTGTGACGTAAGTATCGCGAGAAGATGTGGAGGAAGCGTGAGAGTTTGTGTAACATGTAGGAAATAACAGCACGGTGTCCTTTAACGCAGCTGCCTCCATGGCGGGACGATTGAAGGTAAATTTGCACAATGTAGCCAAACGTGATTTTGCCTTGAATTAGATTTTCCTGAACTGCTTGCGGGGTTTCCCGTTTCCCGGCTCTGCAGCAGGAGCTAAACAATAAACACAGCCATTCATTTCTGTCGCTGACTATTACCAAGAGCACAAGTTACACAGGTTCATTTTGCTGCTTTTCTATGGCTCTGATTTTGTCCAGCCTGGTGAAAATGAAAGGCTAGAGACGCTATTCGCCATGACTGAGAGGAAAAGGAAATAAGTCAACACACTCCTTTTATTCAGCACATTTCTTTTGAGCTGTTTATTTCAGTACTCTTCATGAAACCAGCACTTTTACCAGTCCCAAAATAATTGCTGAAGTATATTTTCTGCCAAAGTTATCAAGACCTTTTTGAATAGTTTCCTATTTATTATTTCTCATTAAAACAAAAGTACAAGCAAAACTTGACAATATAACCAGTTTCTTTTAAAGAGACAGTAACCAGAGAAAACACTTATTAGATTTTTTTTATTTGCAAAATGTAAATTATACCTTCAGTTTAAAATATTTATATAAATATTGATTGCAATAATAATAATAAAAATATTGTTAGTGGTCTTGATGAGCATTTCTCCAGGTTTTCTGTAAGCTTTTCTAAGGTATCCCTTGGACTTTGTTTGCTTTATTTAAAACAAGAGATTAGAGATACACGATCAATCAACCAGAGATCACCAGACATTTTCCAGCTGATTGTTGATCATTGAGTCAAACACTGAAACATCAAAATCCCCCCCAAGCCATTAAATGCATAAAAAACTAAGAGCTTCTAATTTTTTTCTGCCCGTAATCTGACCACATGACCTTTAAAAAAAAAAAAAAAAAAAAAATCAGGTCATGGTTCATTGATGAACGTAAAAAACAAAACCAAAAAAACATGCAACACATTTTCCTCTTTTCAGTTTGAGTTCATATAATAAGTCTGAATCAGGAAATCAGAACTCAAAGAAAACTAGAAAGCAATTCAAAGTTCATGTGTGATTGATTAATCTCTATCTCAGTACATGACCGCCTCCTGAATTTAAAAAAAATTCTTATTTTGATGTTGTCATCGTTTAAGACACTAACCTCTCATACGTGACCCAATGTTGCGTCTGAACAGAACAGGCAACCAATAACAAGTCAGTTTATCTAATGTGTGCATGGAGGTTCTTTTTTTTTTTTTTTTTTGTAAGACTTTGCTGATATTTGAGTATACAAAATGTTTACATCGCTTTGGAGTTGTTTAAAGTTGCCACAAACATGCTCATCAAGCAAGAACAAGTGTATTATTGTGTTTCCATATTTCAAATAGTTTAAACACAACTATTTGAAATATTTTGTCATGGTTTCATCAACAGAAGCAGCTCAAAGAGGCGGTGAAGGTCATCAGCTCGGGCAGTTTTTTGTTAGCTTCCTACCTCACTGTTGTTGGAGACGAGCGCTTCTATGCCAACCAGCTGATGCCTTTGCTGCAGAGGCTTGTGGGCCCAGAAACAGCACATGTATTGTCAGTGAAGATGATAGGACTGGGTCTGGTTCCTATGAGCCGCTACCAGGACCCGGCGTCGCTGGTAAGCAAGTAACCTCAACGTCTCCTCTCTAATTCGGACTCTTCCCGTTGAGATGAATCAAACACTGTTCTGTTTGCGGCCGTGTGTCTACAGGAAGTGAATGTGCTTGGACTGAAGTTCAAAAACCCTGTTGGGATTGCAGCAGGATTTGACAAGCATGGCGAGGCTGTGGACGGCTTGTACAAACTGGGGTTTGGTTTCGTGGAAGTGGGCACGATCACACCAAAACCTCAGGAGGGAAATCCTAAACCCCGTGTGTTTCGACTCACTGAAGATCAGGCGGTTATTAACAGGTATATTTGGAAAGGCAATAAACTGCATTCTCTTCTGTATTCTATCCCCTCAGTTAAATATATACAGGCTAGTGTAGATTTAACTAAATAGACTCTGATTTGAGCTATATTTTACAGTTTTCACATGTATTCATGCAATGACCATTATTGAATAAAGTCAGTTTAATCTGTGCTGCAGAAAAATAAGCTTGTTTATTAATCAAATATTTTTAGCTCATTAAATTCTGTACAAAATGTGATTTTGTGTAGTTTACTATTAAAATTTCAGTTCACACAACTTAAATAACAGGAGATGTATTGGTCCACTTCTTGTGTACAGCTTAAGGACTGGATCCATAAAAGTGATTCACATATAGATATTCGGGCTGCAAGTAACTATTATTTTAGTAATCCATTTATTCTGAGAATCAATAAAAAAAAATTAGAAAGTGGCACATTCTGCAAAATTTTTATTTAGTCATGTAAGCCTTTTTATGCAGTATTAGAAATACATTAAAAGATACAAATAAATAATTTGGTTGTATTTTTGAAATAAGAAAATAACATTGCATTCCTTTAGTGCACACCTGACCATTTGTAGCAAAGGATGCATCTGCTGCTAAAAATACATCTGAAAAGCTCAGGCTTTTTTGCTTGACTTAACATCAATGCAGTGTAGAGTTAATCTGTTGGCTATTCTTTGGATTAACCAATTAATAATTGGATCGCAAAAGATGCTTCATAGGAGATTTTTCTTATTTTATACAGAATTTGAACCAGGTGAAGCCTAAACTTTCACTTGAGGAATTATGGGTAAAACATGTTTATAGACAAAGGTTTTTCTTATCTTTAACACATTTTTTATATTTTTTGTGCAGTTTTGACTTAATTTTGTTTTTTGTTTTTTCCAGCAAATTATTTTTTGTTGAATCTATATGCTCCAGTTAATTGATTACTAAATATGTTGACGATTATTTTAGTAATCGATTGCTCACGATTAATCTGATTAATCATTTTAACCCAAATAGTTCTAAGGTAGTAAAAATAATAAACTAGACTTTAGGTCATTGCTGTTGTGAATGTCTTGTGCGTTTATTTTGTCAAGGTACGGATTCAACAGCTGTGGTTTGGCAGAGGTCCACACAAGGCTGAAGGCTAGAGGAGAAACGCAGCAAAAGCGCAGTAACAGTGAGTTCATCTCATGGTCCATATGTTACTGTAAATATTTCAATTAAACTTAAAAGAAACACAAATGCAGCAAGGTGTTGTAATTTTAATCGTTGAATTGTGTTGGAAGAGGTTAAGGGGAAATTAAACGGTTCTTTCTAATTGTTGGTGGGTTTAAATGTTCCTGACCTCATCTTGTCTCACGTTTTATTGCTCGCAGCTCATTTAGTGCATCAGCTCTCTCTGCCCCTGCTGAGCCATGCATGCAATGATCCAAGCTGTGTTTGTGTTTACCTGAACCTTGCTGTTTGTGTGTCTGCTTGTGCTTCTTTTGTTTACAGCTGGCCTTCCCCTGGGCATCAACCTGGGGAAGAACAAGCTTTCCCAGGATGCATCTGCAGATTACTTGGAGGGGGTGAGAGCTCTGGGTCCGCTTGCTGACTACCTGGTGGTCAACGTCAGCAGCCCCAATACGCCAGGCCTGCGAGATCTGCAGGGGAAGGCTGAGCTCCGGCAGCTTTTATGCACGGTAGGACTGGCCGGATGTTTAATTTTTATGACCAGGAAAGAAAACTCCAGGGATTATTAGGTAGAAATTAATTATGAATTTTTGCTTGTGATATTATTATTGTAGTAATAAACACTGGTATTACTATTATTGCTTTTTTTCCTGATATCATGCAGTTCTATTTGAAAGCTGTGGCCCTTGATGATGAATAAAATCACAGTTTTCTGTCTTAACTGCCTTGTTAGTTTATATTATTTATTAATTGGCAAACTTAGAAAATAATTTCTGAACTGCTGCACACACTGCGCTCACCTTGTGACCAAAACAAGGTCAAAAGGACCGATACAGGTATGAAAGGTTATGACTGTCTGTCAAAACTACATTCTAACAGTGGTTGTTTATAAAAGAATCTGTGAAAACTATTTTATCATTTAGATGTAATTGCTCATCTCTTACACACCTTGAGTAAAGATATCACTCCATAAAGCTCTTAACTTTTGGAAATGATGGGCTGAATATCGATCTGCTCAGAAACATGTTTAAGGACAATTTCGTTTACATCACAAGAATAGATTCGCAAGCGCCGCCATTACATCATGTTACCTTGACATCTTCTGTAGCCTGTTGCAGCTCCACGCTTTGACGTAATCTTAATTGTAATCTGTCTTTTTTATTTATTTCAAATGCTTGATGGTGACGCAGAATTGATTCAGGATTATTTGTGTTGATCTCACTGGGTATGTGTTCTGTAGTAAAGAGGTGCAAACACTGTTTTCCTTACAGCTAAAAGAATCTCAAGGGCAGATTTAATGAATGCCGCTCTGCAGTGACATGAGTGACAAAAGCCCTTTGGCCAATGACCTCACTGCAAGCTTGTTGGTATTTCTATTTATGCTGCTTGAAAGAGTCCTACAGCATTTTCCATCAACCAGTTATTCACAGCTTTTTTGGATGAAATTCCATCAAATAAGATTCTATTCTCAATTATATTGTTTTTTATTATTATTTCTGATGGTGAAAAAACTCAGCATTGTCGTTTAGAAACTAGTTAAAAGAACTGTTCTTTGAAAATTATTTATATTTTCAAGGTTTCTTTTAGAGAATTTCTTTAAGCTCCTTCTGCCTTCTCACCTCATCCTGTCTGCTCAGGTCTTAAAGGAGCGAGATGCTCTGCAGGAAGTACGCAAACCTCCAGTCCTGGTTAAGATCGCTCCTGACCTCTCAGCCCAGGACAAACAGGACATTGCTGATGTTGTTACTGAGGTTTGGACATTATTCATTGTTTGTCTGTGTTGAGTTTGCATTTCTTTTACAATTAAATGAAACTTTTTCTATTCGTAGTAATAAAGACCGTGGAGTGTGGCCGGTAATATCCTTCTGAGATGTTTTCAAAGTGTCATGTTCCCATGCAAACTGCCCACACCCTTTGCAAAGCTGCAGCACTGCTGATGAAACATCCCCTGCTTGTTTTGTGCTCATTTCAATTAATTAGTTTTTTTCTGCAGAAATTAGGTTTTTCATATCAAAAACAAATAATCAGGGTTCTTATTTGATACATTAATGTAAAATGTGTATCGAGTCAGTGAATATTCAACATTTATTTAATACTTATTTAACACAAACAAAGATGAGCACAAAATCAAATAAACACTGAACAAAATCTGTTTAAAGGTTAGTTTATTTGAATTAATAAAAGTCAAATAGAAAATGTTTTTAAGGATTCAGACCCATATGATTGATTAAATAAACATATTACTGAGTTTCATGGTCATGAGAAACAGGAAAGATTTTTGAAAGGTTTTACTGAAAGTTAGTTAAAATGTTAAAATGTTGCGTCTTTCACTAAAAGCCAGCTTTGAACTTTTAATTTAATGATGTGATGAAGTTTATGGGTAAAAATCGTCCTTTTCCTTCTACTGCTTGTTTCTGCAGCGATGCAGGAACACACACTGCTCACGTCCTGTCGTCTTTTCTCTGTGTTCGCAGTTGGGAGTAGATGGTTTGATGGTGTCGAACACCACAGTGTCCAGGCCAGAAACGCTTAAAGACCCACACAAGTCTGAGGCTGGTGGGCTGAGTGGCCAGCCCCTCAAAGACCTCTCCACTAAGACTGTCAGAGAAATGTATAATCTAACCAAAGGTTGCTGTCTGCATCATTTTCTCCATTTACTGTCACTCTTAGAGTAAAGAGAGCACACATGAAGGGAAGCCTTGTTTGGTTTTAGGTGAAGTGCCGATCATTGGAATTGGGGGCGTGGCCAGTGGGCAGGATGCGATGGATAAGATCCGGGCTGGAGCCTCACTGGTTCAACTCTATACTGCCTTGACCTATCAGGGTCCACCTGTGGTGACGAAGATAAAGCGAGAACTGGAACAACTTCTTAAGTGAGTAAAAATGTACCAAAATTAATAATACCAAGGATGTTTTTGACATCAGTGATTTAGGAAGATATCATTTTAGCTTAAATGACTTTAAAAAATTTCATCAAACATCAAATGCCCATTCACTGACAGTATAGCTGCACACAAGCAATGAGTGTGTGAATGAAATGATTTGCAAAGAGTATGGTACATTTAGATAAGCGACCAGAGACAATAAGTGGTAACATCAAGATGCAGCAGCAGTGACAGTCCAAACAATTAGAAAAGATGACCAAACAGAGAAGGCAATACATTAGGCAGAATTGCCAAAATTTGGTGGAATTTGAAAGAGTCCATGTTGGGTTGGCGTGAGGTCAGGTGATCAAACAGTGCAACTCCAAGGAATTAATAAAAATATAATAGTATTTCAAAATAAAACTTCCATCTCTAAATATTAAGGCAATGCAAGTTACTTTGCAAAGCACCATTCACCTAATTCACAACACTTTATAGGGAAACACAAGGACAGAGATCGAATTGATCCAAAATACATGATGCATATAAAAAACACAGCTGTCAAATTTTAAGCACCACATAAGAATAAAGTAAACAAAACGATTAACAAACTAAAAACAAAAGTATGCTGCAAGTAGCTGCAATGTATTCCTGATATAAAAGAACCATCTGTTCTGCATATCTCAGTTTTTAGGGTTGAGGAACATCGAAACTAAATGCTTCCTAACCTTGTTTGGTTCTGGTTCTGGTCCTGGAATCACTGAACGAGCCAGATTCAGTCCGACAGCAACTCAAAAAAGAAACTTTTCAGCAAGGAGAGACAAGTTTCTGCAGAAGTAGAATTGTATTATTGGACAAAGTATGATATGAGACTGAAAATGTTTTATTAATGTTTGCCCCATAACCACATGGAGTTTAGAGGTGATTTCTGAGTCAGCTGCTTTCTCTCTGGTTTTCAGAGTAACAACATATGTCTTCCTGTAGTAATGATCACTAAGTTTGCATGCTTAGTGCATGCTTTTATCAATGTGAAACATTTGTTGCTGCCTGTCTATTATTTGGTTGTTGTTAGTTACTTCCTCAGTAGTTAAGCAGTACAAAGGGGCTTTTTATTACAATTACTAATACTTATTTTCTTTGTTTAGAGATCAAGGGTTCAGCTGTGTATCTGAGGCTGTTGGAGCAGATCACAGGGAGTCAGAGAGAAAATCCTAAGACGCTGCAGCACATGTAGCTGCCTTCTTCTCCATCAAATCAACACAATCAAGTTTCAAATTTTTTGGGATTGTTCATTAGTCAATTCTGATTTTCAGGGTGGCAAATAAATCATCTGTTTTTAAGTTTCATCTTACGTTTTCAAAACATTACTATATCTTAATTTTTGAATATTTTGCTTTGGTCACTGTATTGTACAGCAGATCTGTAACCTGTTTACAGCAGGTCATGTTTTGTTACAATGTAACAGAAGTTTGTGTTTTTAAAATGCATGAAAACACCAAATGCTTAAAAACATTTTTAATAGTTTAGATATTTTTGTTTGTGTAAAGAACATAATGTGCCATAACAACATTTGGCTAAAACCTTAAAACTTGATTGAATAATTAAATACAATTCAAACTTTAGCCCAAATTTTGAACATGTTTTTTTTTCTTTGTATTGCTGTCAGTTGCTATAGCTATAAAAGTGTAAGAACATGATGTATCTCAGATGCATTGAAATCTCATTCATGTTGTTCTCGGCATTCATGTGACACCTGCTTGAGTGGCAGTGCATCGAAACCTGATTCCAGGCAAGATGCATTCATTTCAACAACCAGACAGTTCGGTGCTTTAAATGATGAAAACATAGGTGTACGTTTCAGGGACATCATCAAGGAAAGGAAACCAAAGAAAAGTTGGATAACATACTAAAATTAATGTTTCAGTAAATATTGAATAGTCAAAGGCAGCTGCCAACAAATTAGTTTTTCAGCCTTGATTTAAATCGACTCTTTTTCTGGAATTTTTTTGGAGCATAAAACCTGAATGCTGCTTCTTCATGTTTGGTTCTGGTTCTGTATTGAACTTGAAGACCTGAGTGATCTGGAAGGTCGACAAAAACAGCAACAGGCCTATAGTGTGTTTTGGTGCAAAGCCATGCAGTAATTTCTAAGCTAACAAAAGTGTTTTAAAGTATTTTTCTTTGAGTTAATGGGATTTTAGAACCTGGTTGATATACTCTGTGAGAACAGAACCAGTAATACCAGAACTGTGGTTGTTCTGGTGCATTTATGTTGCTGTTTTGATAACGGAAGGCTCAGTGCTATTGTGACTTGAGCAAAAGATATCAAAGTGGTTGGTTTGATATCTTAATATCAAAACAACCCAATATTTGAATATTATTTAAATATTTGAAATTGGCCTGTAATTTTGCAATAGCAGTTTCTCCAGATTGTTCTTTTAACTGTGATTTGATAGCTGCTGTGTTTAAAACTAAACAGTTTTTAAAACAATTATTTGAGTCGTATCAGACGCTATAACTGGTAAAACTTTCTTATTGAAATCTGTGGGTAAAATATCGAGGCAACAGGATTTGTGGTTGATTTTTTTTTTTAATACTCTGCCCAATATTGGTCCTGAACTTGATATTTAAGTACACACTAAGCCCCCAATTTTCTAAATGTTCACAGTAAAGACATGAGTAAATTCATTGTGGGATCAATAAAGTGCGGTTTAGATGATACAGCCTGTATGAAGCTGTGATCTATTTGTAATTCAAGCCGCCGTCTTTCAAACAGTCTCTTTCCTTTGTGTGCCTGACACGGAAAATATTTGCAACAGACAAGAACCTAATAAAATGCAAGAATCATAATAAATGAAATAGGGTTTTATTGTATTTAAATATCTGAATATTGATGAAAAGCATCTGAAACAGCAGTAAATATACATGACTGCTGACTGAGAGATTGTTGCTCATCAGTATTCCTCAGATGACTTTGCTGTATACCTGCTGCGACAAAGGAAGTCCGCGCATAGCTGTGTGTTTTCATGTCCAGATAGTTGGAGCAGATGGCTGCTCGAAGAAATATTCTTGGCTTTTTATCACTTATCAACACATTGAAATGTTCAAAAAGTGCCCAGAATAGATATTTATTAGTTGCTGCCTGTGAAAGCAGCAGTGCTGTGAGGATCAGCTGTGAGCTGCTTCTTTCTCTCCTGAGGCAAAGTCCAGACCGTCTCATCCCATATGTGGTGTCAGAAGAGGAGGGGAAGCAAAACTTCCTGAACTGTTGGCCACTTGGATGTACGGGTTCCTCAAATAACTTCTGTCATTGCTCGGAGGTAACAGTGGTGACCGCACAGCTCCTGTGCCTGCGGGCTTCACTTTCAATTTTAGAGCTAGCAGGAAATGAAAAGTCCACTGTATCATTTCTTTTATGTAACTCTTAACGCTGTTTCTTCTTAAATACCGCCAGTCATTCATGTGGTAGATGTGCTTCTGCTCAGCACACCTGATTGATCTGATTGCACTGCCTCATCAGCAAGTCCTGCAAAAATTAAGTTAATTGCCCACTCATGTAAGTCAGGTAGGTGACAGGAATGAACCATCTCAAACATGGAGGTCAGTGGGCTCTGGGCGCCAGCATGGAGAAATGCTTCCCTCTCATATTAATAATACAAGAGCCTTCTAATATTAGATCTGACGTATTGAAACAGAGAAATGGGTAATCAATAGTACAACATCCTCCCAAAAACAACAAATATGCAACATTTTTGTTGCATGTTGGATGAAAAATCTCCAGATGTCAACCTGACTGAAATGTTGGGGAGGGATGTAAAAACAAATGTCTGCAAACCTGAATGAAACTGAGTACTATTGTAAAGACAAGAGAGAGAAAAATTATTGTGCAGTGACTGAAGTTATAAAGAAATCACTTGACAGTATTAAAAATATGGTTCAACATGCTTGTAAATCACAGAGTGTTTTTTTTCCTGAATTATTTTTCCATTAAAGGGTAGAAAAAACACAATTTCAGCCTCTAAATATTTGGAATATTCTGAATATGTTGCTGGCAGTCATTAGGAATCCAGGCGATATGATTAAACAGAAAACTGTTCCAGATTTCTCAAGCCTCCAGTGGTTTCTGATCCTGGTAATTGGATGACATTTACTGCAGGAGGAGGTCAACATTGTGAAAAGTCTCATGAAGAGTTGGATGGACTGCTAAAAAATTTGATCTACACATTAACCCCACCCATTAAGATCTGTCACAGCATTAATGACTGACAGACTCTGGCCACATCAATAGTCTTAGATTCAGAAGCTGAACTGTGCAGAACTTTCTGCTCTGAATGTAACAACAATCAGACCAGCCTCTGCTGCATTTCTGATATACAGCCACCAACTACCACCAGATTTAGTTTATATGGGATTTTTGTCTGTTTGTTTCAAAACGCATCCCATGTTGCCATCAACAAAAGAGTATGAGAGAAATCTGAGCCTTCAACTCTGTTGGCGTCATTCTGACGGGAAGGCTTATCTCAGACAACAGAACCATGAAAAAGTACACAGCACTCATTCTCAGGAGGAAGTCTGCATTACACTGCCAAATACTTGAGATCAATGCAGCCTTGTTCTCAAAGTTGGATTAAACCATAAAAACACTGCAGGAGTTTCCATGTAACTTTTCTTTACACGGATGCTTCCATGTAAATTCTGTTCATCAAGATTAATTATTTAGATCTTTTTTCTTAATTGAAATAAACATGGAAGTCTCTTGGGAGCTCAGACACAACCCGACACTTTACATTATTAAACTTGGGCTGATCTACTAAAATGCAAATTGGCCCTGGATCCAGTTTCACTGTTCGCTTGGCTGCAGGTGCTCCATTCGGACTCTTCTGCAAACGTGTTTTTCAAAGTTCAAGAACTTTGAATCATAAAAGACGTTTGACTGAGTAAAGTTCAAATCAAATCAGCTTTTGATGTCAATTTATAACAATTATAAATGGGTTGAAAAAAACAGATATTGTAAAGTCAATGATGTTCAGACCTAACAAGCTTATAAAAACTAAATAAATCAGCCTTCTATTTGATAAAAACACACAGCCATTGTTTTAACTACTTAATAATTTGTCCTACTGCCACAACCACAGAGCACATTGTCCTGTAGAGTAAATGGGTTTATTTTTTTTCTTTTGTGTACTGAGTTTGTTTTTCCTTAGAAAATATTTCTTTAAGTGCCCCCATTTGCTGTAGAAATATCCAAATTCAAATTAAAATGAGTACTAATGAAAATATGACAGGAGAAAATAAGTCAGCAGAATCAGGCAATTCATTACAATTAGAAGAGAAACATTTTCTGAATATTCACTGTGGAATGGCGTCATCACTCAAGATGAAACTCCTTCATTTTAGTTGAGGCCCATAAGCTCTTTATTCTTAGCACATATTTTAAACAAACTTGTTTTCAGACATGTGAAGGGACAGTAAAATAGATGTAGAGGTGATTATGCAACAGGGAGTGGAGCAGGTGCGGTCAGCATTTTTTTTTTTTACCTGCGTTAAAATGCATGAGCCTGTCAGCTTCATGTCATCAAGTCAGCATGAATGCTCTTCCATGATCTAATGATTGAATGATGTTTAGGCGCTGGTGTTAAATTTTAAATGGTCAGACGTTAATCTAGAAAGTAGAGAAACCATTACCATTTTCATTCTTTTTTTGAGATTTTGACTCACATTTGCAATTTATTTTGTTGCTGAGAGGAGTTGTACATCTCTGCAGGTTTGACTGTAGATTATTGGCCCGTTAGCCTCATTTTAGCCAGCAAAATGTTTGAATTTCCCACCTGAACAGTGTGGTATGATTGAAGGAGAGATGATGGACACAGTAATGTGGTTTGCATTTCTGCTGAGGATTATAGAGATTGAAGAACTCGAGGTGGAGAGACTTTCTTTTACATTTTTTTTTTATCTTGACTGCACAAGACCCAATTTACCCACATAAATGCTGTGACTGGCCTGAAAATAAAATATGCCCCATTAGTCTGCAGGCCTAAAACCCACAGGAGTCAGACTGAAATTGAATTGAAGAAATTTAAAAAGTGAGTACTCAGAGATAATGCTGCGTTACAATGATTAATTTTGCTCTCCAAATTAATTAGAATTGTGCACCATATTACTGAGAGGAAGAAGATCATGAGAACCAATTGAAGACATTTAAAGTACATAATTTGTGATGCACAGAAACTTGGCACACAGTTTCTGTTGGTCAGAAACTCTGACCAACAATCAAACATGAAAGAAAAAATTTGCCAAATAAAAAGCAAACAGTCACAGGAAGAAACTAATTAAAGTAAATTGCGATTAAAACCAAACAATTTAACTCAAGACGTAAATGTGATGTTTTTACATTATGAGAAGGAGGAAGGAGCTGCATTTAGACACAAGGATTGTTTTTGGGGCTTATTTTTCTGAATATGTCTCAGAGTGAAGAAAATTTGGATTACACATGGGCTGAACTTTTACATTCTCTGGATGCATGTCAGTGCATTTTAACGTAAATATTTTATAAGTCAAAAGAAGGACTTGCAGCTTCTATAATGGAAAGCAAATGGCAGAAATGACAGATAAAAATTTTTTT